AGATTAGGAACACTAACCTCTTGAAATAGTTCCACAAATCTTCCAAGCAGCAAGAATCCAGGGCTACAGTCTTCTGCTATTTGCCTAGTAAAGCCTTGGACAATTTTGCTTTTAGTGGGCAAGAACAATACAACTCTAGGGTTACTGATTAGGTGAAACCTGTCTCCCTTTTTATAGGCTCGAAATTAAGCCCTAAAAAGGAGCTTAAAATCGTGCCTACTCTAACTCAAAAAGGTAACTTTTCTCCCAAGCTACTTTTACCCAAGTCTGTCCAGGTTTTACTAGGTATAGCAGGGACCACAGAAATAATAAGAGGCTACTAATTATAGTATTAATTCTAAATTAGCATGAATTAATTCTTACTATAATTAATTGCAATTTATTCCACTAAAAACTGCAATTGAACTCCTCAATATGAATTTCGAAAATTCATCAACACTTATTTTAACTCCCCATGTTAAGATTTAAAATACCAGTAAATTAAATTAAATCACTGAAAATTTAATTCAATTAACTAATTAAATCCTTTATAATTCCGCTTAAACATCTCATGTGACGGATACAAAGTCCACCGGCCGGGTTTTCACATGAAAACTTATAAGCTTATATAAAGGGGTATCATCAAACCCAAAACCAAGTCATGGATTCTATCAACTAATTATTATTTCACAAATGTTATTTGTTATTGTCCAATTTATTAGGCATATACTAACTCTAATTATAGTCGTACCTTTTGATAAATCAAAACAATGAACAAATTACATTGATCATAACAATTATATCAAGATTAGGAGTATAAGCTCATTTAATGAATTAGAGAAAATATTTTATATGTATTCAGTACAAAAATACATTTTCTCTACTTGGTCCGTTCAATATACACTGAGTATACTAGCACAAGAAGTTGGAGTAAACCTACTCCCATAATCAAGACAAATCATATAATAATCTTGTGCTACAATCATCAAGATATTTTGTCCGATAATATCTTCGATTGTGAACATAGTTTATTAATTATGAGAACCAACAATTTAATCTTCTGTGCATGAGCTAAGACTTCATACACTAAATTGTCTACTACATAACTAAAAGGACACACATGTTACAAATGATCTATTTAAAACAGTGCTTTATTGAATTGAATAAACTAAATAAACAATTGTTTCATAAAGAACAAAATATAATACTATGTCTAAACCGCATGGTTAATAGTATATCCCAACAATCTCCTACTTAGACTCATAACCATGCGTCTAATATTCTAACACCCATTCCTTCTACATGCTTGTCAAAAATCTTCTGTGTCAAGCTCTTTGTAAATGGGTCTGCCAAATTATCCTCCGACGCAATCTTCAACACTCTTGCATCACCTCTTTGAGTTATGTCCCGAATTAAGTGATATTTACGCTCAATATGCTTACTTCTTTTATGGCTTCTTGGTTCCTTCGAGTTTGCAACTGCACCACTATTGTCACAATAAAGTACAATTGGTGCTTGAACCGAAGGAACCATAAGTTCCTGAGCCAAACAGCCTCTTTGGCTGCTTCAAGTGCAGCCACATATTCGGCTTCCATGGTGGAATCAGCAACACACGATTGCTTGATGCTCCTCCAACTTATGGCTCCACCTCCTAAAGTAAAAACATATCCTGAGGTAGATTTTCTAGAGTCTCTATTTGACTAGAAGCCAATGGGTGCAAGATCACCTGAGTGATACACCAACATATAATCCCTAGTTCTTTTTAGGTACTTGATTATATGCTTAACAGCAGTCCAGTGTTCTCGACCAGGGTTAGACTGAAATCTACTAACCATGCCGACAGCAAAGCAGATATCAGGTCTAGTACATAGCATAGAATACATGAGACTCCCTACAGCCGAAGCGTAAGGGACCGCCTTCATCCTTTCTATCTCATCGATCGTTTTTGGGGACTGATCTCTTGACAGAGAGATTCCATGTCTAAAGGGGAGAAACCCTTTCTTGGAATCTTGCATGCTAAACCTGGTGAGAATAGTATCAATATAAAGCGCTTGGGACAAGCCTAATATCCTTTGCTTGCGATCTCGCATAAGCTTGATCCCAAGGATATGTGCTGCATGTCCCAAGTCTTTCATATCGAAACATGAGGATAACCATTCCTTTACTGAATTCAACATGCTCACATTATTTCCTATGAGCAAAATATCATCTACGTACAAAACCAAAAATGTAACTTTATCTCCATTCCACTTCTTATAGACACAAGACTCATTTTCACATTGATCAAAATCGAATGTCCTAATCGATGCGTCAAAATAAGTGTTCCATGCCCTAGAAGCTTGTTTCAATCCATAAATAGATTTGTTTACTTTACACAACAAGTGCTCATTGCCACTTTTTATGAAATCAACTGGTTGTGCCATATAGATGCACTCATCAAGACTTCCATTTAGAAAAGCGGTCTTGACATCCATTTGCCAGATCTCATAATCATAATGAGCTGCAATGGATAAGAGAATCCTTATGGATTTAAGCATGGCTACTGGCGAAAAGGTTTCCTCATAATTGATTCCTTCTTTTTGAGTAAACCCTTTTGTGACAAGCCTAGCTTTAAAAGTTTGCACTTTTCCATCCACTCCTCTCTTTTTCTTATAGATCCATCTACAACCTATGGGTTTGACTCCAGTAGGTGGTTCTACAAGATCCCAGACTTGATTTGAGTACATGGACTCCATTTCAGATTTGATAGCATCAACCCATTTATCAGCATCTGTATCATGTAGTGCTTCGTCGTAATTAATAGGTTCTGTATTAGGATCTTCAGGGATTCTATCATTAAGATTCTCCCAAGAGCGCAAACCAGAGAGGTTTTCTAATAATTCTCCCACTACGACTAGTCACTACAGGTGGAGGCTGATTTTGTTGTTGAATCACATCACCACTTCCTTGAACTGAAGCCTCAATGTTATCCTCCACACTAGGCGGTGCTAGGGTATCATTGACTTCTTCCTGAGTGCAGGATCGGGCCCAGATTGGCCTTCAGATTCTGCAGCATTGTTCTGCCATGGTCCTACCGTGGTTACGCCAGGACCGCGGCCAGAGTGGCTTTCGGATTCTGCAGGTTGCATAACAATTTCAGGTTGTTCAACAACCTGAGGTTGCTCAACAATCTGAGGTTGCTCAACATTATTTCCACTACTTTGGGGTAGTGAGATGTTAGGCAATTGTTCTTGTGCAATCTGCTGCCTATTGACATTTCTCCCACTACGATAATGCAGTGGTATGTCAATGCTGGCTTCCGGGATACGTTCAAGAGATGAATCTTTAGTTATTTCATTGTTTAATTCCTGTAAAACTAGTTTACTTTTAGGAATATGGTTCATTAGATAGTCCTCTTCTAAGAATCTGGCATTTGTCGTAACAATTACCTTCTTTTCTTTGGGACAATAAAACAAACCGCCTTTTGTTCCTTTTGGATATCCAATAAAAATGCATACTTCTGTCCTTGATTCCAATTTATCCGCTTTCCCTTTCAGCACATGTGCTGGACAACCCCAAACCCGAATATGTCGTAAACTTGGCTTGTGCCCAGTCCACAATTCTACTGGAGTTGAAGGTACTGACTTTGAAGGAACCAAATTTAGAATGTAGTTTGCTGTTTCTAAAGCATATCCCCAAAAGGAAAGAGGCAAATCGGAATAACTTAACATTGATCTAACCATTCCCATAAGGGTCCTATTTTTTCTTTCTGCCACACCATTTTGTTGTGGTGTTCCTGGGGCAGATAATTGAGATGTAATTCCATTATCTGATAAGTATTTTATGAACTCCGTAGAAAGGTATTCACCACCACAATCAGATCGCAATGTTTTGATATATTTATCATGTTGTTTCTCTGTTTTCGTCTTAAATTCTTTGAATTTCTCAAAGCATTCAGACTTACGGCGCAACAGACAAATATATCCATATTTTGAGTAATCATCTGTGAAAGTCACAAAATACTCAAAACCACCTCTTGCTTGTATATTCATGGGACCACACAAATCAGAGTGAATTAATTGTAGCTTATCACTGGCCCTATTCCCTTTTGAGGGAAAATGTCTCTTGGTCATTTTGCCTTCTAAACAGTATTCGCATGTTGGTAGTGACTCCACTTTCAATGAACTCAAAGTTCCATCAGAGACCAATCTCGAAATCCTAATTAGATTTATATGGCCTAGACGTAAGTGCCATAAATAAGTTTGACTCAATTCAGAAATACATTTTGTTTTATGTGGTAGATTAATGTTAATTAGTTCTTTTGGTTGTTGTAGCACATGAGGAGATATATCAAGAACAAAAAGGTCATGTACTCTAGCAGCATTATAGATAAAACATTTATTAAACTTAATAACAGCAGAGTTATTAGCAAAATAAACATTATAACCAGCATCCATTATTTTCGAAACCGAAATCAAATTCCTTCTAATGGAAGGTACATAGAGAACATCTTTTAAAACTAAAACTCTATCACTACTAAACGAAACGCTAATATCTCCTAAAGCTAAAGCTGGTGCTGGCTCGCCATTGGCTTGAAAAATGCAAACTTCATTCTCACTTAGCCGCCGCGTTTCCTGAAACCCCTGCAAAGTATTGCAGATGTGATTAGTGGCTCCCGAATCTACACACCAAAACATGGTAAAAACAGCCGCTAAACAAGTTTCAACGACATTTAAATTCGAATTACCTTGCTTATTCAACTTTGCCAGATAGGCAGGGCATTGCTTCTTGTGATGCCCGGGTTGCTTGAAATGATAGCACTTGCCTTTGGGCTTGTTCACACCAGTCGCACCACCAGGTGCCAGAATCTTTTGAGCCTTCTTCTTTTTCTTTTTGCCTTTCGACTTAGAAATTGAAGGTTTCTCAACATTGAGTGCCACAACTGGAGCTTGATGTTTAATAATAGATTCTGCCGCTTGCAGCTCATTCAACAATTTCGCTAGTGACAAATCCATTTTTTTCATATTATAGTTCAAGCAAAACTATTGGAAACTGTCAGGCAGAGTCTGTAGGACCATCTCAACTTGAGACTCCTTATCAATCACAGCTCCAAGGACCTCCAGTTCATTTAGAAGACTCATCATCTTCAGAACATGGTCCCTGACCGATGATCCTTCAGCCATCTTTGTGTTCAAAAGGGCTTTCATGGCTGTCTGCTTAGCTGCACGATTTTGCTCACCGAACATCTCTTTGATACTTTCGAGCATATCATAAGAAGACCCCATAAACTGATGCTGATGTTGCAAAACATTCGCCATAGAGGCAAGAATGTAACATCGCGCCATCTCATCAGCCTTAACCCATTTGTCATAGGCCTTAACCTGATCATCAGTAGCATTTTCAGGTTTTTTTGGGCACTCCTCAATGATTACAAATTTGTAACCTTCAGCAGTTAAGACAATATCAAGGCCCCTTTTCCAGTCAACATAATTTGGTCCTTCTAACTTGTTTTGGTTCAAAATTGAGGTAAGTGGGTTGAATGAAGACATGGTTAATCTGAGAGATATTCATATTAAATAGATCATTAGTTATGTATTAAGAATGATTAAATTCAAAATTACACATTACACATATAACCATGCTCATTGAACAGTTAGATTCGTTAGGGAAACTTAACTATTCATGCAAAATATATGAATGATGTCAGATATTAACCCCATAAATTTAAACAGAACCAACTTAGATGGAGAGTAAACTGTTAATTTAAGATAGGTAAATATCACTTTTTATAAAACTCTGGTTTCATTCAATCAACATGTAACTCAGTTGGAGAGTTAATACAAGTAATGAAATAACTAGAGGCTAAAAACACAGTAATCATCTATAATGAATTTATCCGATGTGGAAGAAGACCTATGTCAACATATAAATTCATTATATTACTGTAGAACCCGTTTAATTTAGGGTTTAGGGGGGTAAAATCTCGTGTTTTGCAATTTGGGTTCTGAAGGTTGCATGTACTGCCGCGGTCCTACCGCGGTTACGCCAGGACCGCGGCTAGAGTGACCTTCAGAATCAGAGGCAGTGTTCTACCGCGGTCCTACCGAGGTTACGCCCAGACCGCGGCTATTTAATATGTGATTTCAGAGAAAAAACATGTTTTGGCAGAATTAATCCAAAAATTCTGTATATTAATCCAAAATTACAGAATATCACACAAAACATTCACGTTTCTAACATAGAATAAATATCCGAAACATGTATCAATAAATAACACGTTTTAATATTATTCTATGCATGCTGTATTACATTATCTAGTTAGATGTAAGACGGCGTCTGATACCAATTGTTAGAACATGCGCAGTGGAAGCAAGCAAACAACCAGGCATCAATTACATGTAAACTAGACAACGCAATAATAATGATATTAGGAACACTAACCTCTTGAAATAGTTGCACAAATCTTCCAAGAAGCAAGAATACAGAGTTGCAGTCTTCTGCTATTTGCGTAGTAAAGCCTTGGACAATTTTGCTTTTGGGTGGGCAAGAACAATACAACTCTAGGGTTACTGATTAGGTGAAACCTGTCTCCCTTTTTATAGGCTCGAAATTAAGCCCTAAAAAGGAGCTTAAAATCGTGTAGGATTCTACAAGTAGAATCGTACTCTAACTCAAAAAGGTAACTTTTCTCCCAAGCTACTTTTTACCCAAGTCTGTCCAGGTTTTACTAGGTATAGCAGGGACCACAAAAATAATAAGATGCTACTAATTATAGTATTAATTCTAAATTAGCATGAATTAATTCTTACTATAATTAATTGCTATTTATTCCACTAAAAAACTGCAATTGAACTCCTCAATATGAATTTTGAAAATTCATCAACACTTATTTTAACTCCTCATGTTAAGATTTCAAATACCAGTTAATTAAATTAAATCACTGAAAATTTAACTCAATTAACTAATTAAATCCTTTATAATTCCGCTTAAACCATCTCATGTGACGGATATAAAATCCACCAGCCGGGTTTTCACATGAAAACTTATAAGCTTATATAAAGGGGTATCATCAAACCCAAAACCAAATCATGGATTCTATCAACTAATTATTATTTCACAAATGTTATTTGTTATTGTCCAATTTATTAGGCATATACTAACTCTAAATAGAGTCGTATCTTTTGATAAATCAAAACAATGAACAAATTACATTGATCATAACAATTATATCAAGATTAGGAGTATAAGCTCATTTAATGAATTAGAGAAAATGTTTTATATGTATTCAGTACAAAAATACTTTTTCTCTGCTTGGTCCGTTCAATATACACCGAGTATACTAGCACAAGAAGTTGGAGTAAACCTACTCCCATAATCAAGACAAATCATATAATAATCTTGTGCTACATTCATCAAGATATTTTGTCTGATAATATCTTCGATTGTGAGCATAGTTTATTAATTATGAGAACCAACAATTTAATCTTCTGTGCATGAGCTAAGACTCCATACACTAAATTGTCTACTACATAACCAAAAGGACACACATGTTACAAATGATCGATTTAAAATAGTGCTTTATTGAATTGAATAAATTAAATAAATAATTATTTCATAAAGAACAAAATATAATACTATGTCCAAACCGCATGGTTAATAGTATATCCCAACAACAAGGTGCACATTAAAGATTATGGTTAATAGTATATCGCTTAGCCTCACCCAACAGAGAGAATGGAAAAAGTGTGAGCCTCACATAATCTGGAGTGACCCCGTTAGTGATTTAAGTATCACTAATCTCCAAGAAGTTCAGAATATGCTGCTGTGGATCCTCGTGTGGAAGACCCATAAATTGCCCGTTTGCATGAAGCAGCTGGATCATGCTCTGTTTCATCTCAAAGTACCCGGTGATCCTGGGCTTCACTATACTAGAGGTGACATTAGCAATGCTGGGCATCGCCACCTCCTAAACAGCCATGGGTTGCTCCCCTGCCATGTCCACAGGAAATTGAACAAGTGTCTGAATATTATTCGTGTCCCTTGCTTCCCTCAACCTCCTGTGAAATGTTCTCTCAGGTTCCGGATCAAACCTTGAAGTCGGTCCTGGCTTCTGACCCTACGCTTTCAATCAATGTTCCTGAGATCCTAGCAACAATCAAGTAACGTTAGACTCAATGAAATAAACAATCAAAGCAAAAACTAGCAAGTAGCTAATATTAAGTCCCCGGCAACGGCGCCAAAAACTTGTTGCTCCCAAACGCACACGCAAGTATACGTGGTCGTACAAGTAATAAAATGATAAGTCGAGTGTCGAACCCACAGAGACTTATATCAACTACTCACTATCACACCAATATTGTTATTCCGTCAAGCTAAATTCGAGTTCAAGAAGTTAATTATGCTAACTACAATTCTAAGTAACAACTAAATTATCAAGTAACGAGATGATTGTTATGTATTCAATAGAGATAAGTATTCCAGGGTTGTGATCGATTCACCAATCGTATTGTGTTTTAATTAACTCTCTCTTTCTTATAATTCACTCATGGTTGCAAATTAATCGATAAATGCTCTCATAGCCTTCTCCCGAAGTAGTACTCACCTATCCTCAATAGATTAACGCCTATATTCCTATGGAATTAATCTATTAAGAATGCATTGAGATTATGATATTTAATTAAGCAAGGTGATTAGGTATATTCCTATCTTTACCACAAACCCGCTCCCCCTAAGGGTTAAGATCATGCTCTCTTCAATTCTTCTCTAATCTAAACACGGCTTTCCCAAGCATAGCATAGATAGTAAATAGAACCTAACTGCTGGCCAGACAATTAAGCAATTAAACACAGAATTAAAGAAACAACCATATTTGAATGAGTTATAATCAAGGTTAAGTTAATACCGAACGACAATATTCATGGCTAAATCACAACCCCAGAACAATGGGTTTTAGCTACTCATGCTAGTGTGCATCACAATTAGGTTCAATTTCATCACAAAATAGCAAAGACTAAGCGAATAAAAGAAGAACTTGGTAGTCCAAACTCCTCCTTGCCTCTTGCCTCTCGATTTCTTGCACTAAACTATGAAAACCTTGATGATTTGACCTTGGGCGAGCTTGACTTTATATAGGTTAAGTGGGTTTCTCTCCCGATTTCCAATTTTACCCCCAACTAGCTCTTTTCCGGATTGGCACCGCACGAACTCGCGCGTCTCTTCGCGCACCTTTCTGCCTCGGCTTGTAATACGCGCGAACTATGCGCGACTTCGCGCGTCCTTCGCGCACCTGGGACTTGACTTCTTCCAATTTTTCGTCTTGTCCTTGCACGCACTCAACTCCGAGGGGTCGTTTTTGCTCATAAATCATTCCAATAGCCTCTTGAAAGCATCATATAAGCTCCTCACCCTGCAATGTATACAAATCACAATTAGAGCCTATTTTTTCATCAATTAACCATATTATGTCATTGAAATGTAATTAAGCGGAAGCATAAACAATAGCTAAATAAGCGGAAGCATAAACAATAGCTAAATCACCTAGATTTCGCCTATTATCAACACCCCACACTTAATTCATTGCTAGTCCTCGAGTAATGAAACTATACCCTCTATAGAATCCTTCACTAAACCATTTCTCCTAACGCATTACACCTAGAACAATGTGCATACATTACGCCTAGCAGTGAACAATCCTAGCCTCAAAGCCCACTCTCAAGTATCTTGCAATATTCACACGTCCTCAAAGTACTCTACATAGAAGTCAAGACTTGCTTTTCCGTCACGAATCATATGCCCTCACAATCACATCAACAAAAACTGAATTCAATCCACACATTTGAGTCATACACTCACATATATCAATGAAAGCACTCACTCTCACAAAAGAAGTCACATGCATGCAATTGGTACCATAGGCTTGCCCTTAATGTAAATCTCTACTAATGTAGGCTAGCTCGACCCAAAATCAATTAGGACTTTTTCATGGTTGTAATGTGGGCTAAGGGACGGGTAGGATATATTTAGGAATAGTGACTCAACCTCCTAAGCACTTTAACACATCACGTAAGCAAATTTTAGCGCAAATTCTTCAACCCCCTTCTCATTCATAAACAAATTCATCACACAAATACTCCCTTCTTCTTTAAGCACTCTATTAATTCATACCCACTAGCTGGAACAAGACACAATGTATTCATCTCTTCTTTTTTTCCAGTTTATTCTTCTTGTCACTTAATTTCCGCTAGTGGTGTATTCGTTTACAACACAAGTGCACCATTCATCCTTTTATTGGTTCCACTCAAAAGCCACCCCACACTTATTTCCTTCTTACTTCTTTTAGCGCTCCTCTCACTATTAAAGTGCTTTAAGAGGTAAAAGGATCAAAACAATGTCAATTAAGAACAAATGGGTATAGGCTTGTAATGCAGGTGCCAAACAAAAGGCTAAAGGCTCAAAAGGGTTAGCTAGGGACAAATTTTATTTATGATAAGCAATCAAGCTCAAAAAGGTCAAAGAGAGCCTAAAATCATTTTTAAAACCGAGCATCACC